CTGCCCCGCGGGCCCTCGGAGCAGGGCGAGCCGCGACGGCGGCGGCTCCGACTCGGTCCCCCGGCCCCTCCCCCGGGGTCCAGACGCGCCAGTTGTCCGAGCTGCGTCCAGGCGAGGCGTCGAAGCCGCCCCCCCCCCTCCCCGCCCCCCCCCCCCCGAAGGCCAACTGGTGTTGTCTCGACTCGCCCTCCTCTGGCCCGCCTCCTCCTCCGCGCGCCCCCCGCCCGCACCCCTCCTCTGCCCCTCCCCACGGCTCCTCCCCACGGCTCCTCCCCGCGCGCCTCCCCGTCCTCCTGAGGCTGCCCCGCCCCGCACCCGATCGCGCTGCTGCGCCGCAGCGCGCGCGGGATGCTGCTGCCACTCCTTTCCGCTCCTGCTCCTCCTGCTGCTGCTGCTGCTGCTCCTCCTCCTCCTGCTCCTCCTCCTCCTGCTCCTGCTCGTCATCCTCTGGTTCTTCCTTCCAGTCCTCCTCGTCCTGTTTGTTACTTCTCTGGCTCCTCATTCTCCCCCTCCTCGTCCTTCTTCTCTGACTCCGCATCCTCTTCCTTCTCTTCACTCTCTTCCGTTTCCTCGTCCTCCGCCTCCCCCTCCTTCCTCCGCCGACGACGACCCTGACGTCGACGACGCCGACGGCCCCGATGCCGACGACGCCGCCGCCGACCCCGCCGACGACGCCAACGACGCCGACGGCGCCGACGACGGCGGCGCCGATGTGCCGCGCTCCTTCGTGCTGGCCACGCCCTTCTTCTCCGCGGCGCCGCCAGCCGGACGCCGGCGGCGCTGCTGGCCCGCCTGCGGCCGTCGCCGCCGCCGTCGCCGCCGCCCCCGCCGCCCCCGCCGCCGTCGTTGTCGTCGTCGTCGGCGTCGTCGTTGGAAGCGTCAAGAATGGCGAGAAGGAGGAGGACCGGGCCGATCACAATCAGGGGTCGTAGCGGGAGCGGGAGTCATCGTTCTCCGAACTTGATGGACCGTGTCTTGAGGTGATGCGGCGAGGGTAGGCCGCGTAAGATAGTGCAGGTGATCCCCTCGTCAAGCTCGCTGATGTTATTCACGAGGGGGGGGGGATTGTAACACCACGTTGCCCCCCGTCAAGCTTGCTGAGGTCGTTCGCGAGGGGGGTGATGGTAAAATCACACTGCCTTCTCATCTTTCGTGTCCTTTCAAGTTTTTGGGCTCAAATCGTCCCGAATGAACCTAGCGCGCTCTCCGCCCCCGAGCCTCACCAGCGTGGGGCGGCGTCGTCGCGACGACGCTCAGTCGGGCCGCGATCGCAGCGCTGGCCCTCCTCTTCCTGGGGGGCACCGGGGTCTACGGGCTGATTCTAGGATCGTCTCTGGTCTCGCCTGGCGCCTCCTCCTCCTCCTCCTCCTCCTCCTCCTCCTCCTCCCCCTCCTCCTCCACCTAACCCCTCCTCCTCCTCCTCCCCCTCCTCCTCCTCCTCCTCCTCCTCATCATCCTCATCCTCATCCTCATCTCTCATCCTCCTCATCCTCATCCTCCTCATCCTCATCTCCCTCCTCATCCTCCTCCTCCTCCTCCTCCTCCTCCTCCTCCTCTCGGCATCATCATCATCATCATCATCATCATCATCATCATCATCATCATCATCATCATCATCATCATCATCTCATCATCATCATCATCATCATCATCATCATCATCATCATCATCATCATCATCATCATCATCATCATCATCATCATCATCATCATCATCATCATCATCATCATCATCATCATCATCATCATCATCATCATCATCATCATCATCATCATCATCATCATCATCATCATCATCATCATCATCATCATCATCATCATCATCATCATCATCATCATCATCCACACCAACATAAACATCAACATCATCATCCCTCCTACCTCCAACGAATGCGCGCCCGAACCACGCAAGTCCCAGAGGAACCGCGACCGAGAGATCTACGCGGGAGAGCCCGCGCCTGTCCTTCTGCGAGCAGATCGGGGTCTCCATGAGCTCGGTGCACGGATGGAGTCGCACGTATCGGAACATGGAGGGTGGCCAGGGCGAGGTTGTGCCCATGGTCATGCGCCTGTACCCAAAGACGAAAGGCAATACTCAGTGGATCCATGTTCGGCCCAATCGTTCCCTCGCCGTGGTGGACCTCAACGATCGGGGGAAGGTCACGGCAAAACGGCAGCCGAGCATGGTACCTGCCGACTTACAGGCCTGCGCAGCGGACGAGAAGACCGCGGCCGTGGAAGGCGCTACCTAGAAGCATCTACAGGTTGAGCCAGGATGGTCCAAGCTAAGGTCGTGGGGCTCTGAATTGCGGTACTGTCGCTCGGGCTTGGCATGGATCTGGACCACCTCGTCGTAGGGTACCACGGCGGGCTACAGCTTCTTCGCGTGGAGGTTGGCCATATACTTCGACGTGTGGAGCTGGGCCAAGTGGGTGGTCGAGGAGGTGGGCGACACGCACACTGTGATGCCGGAGATCGACGACTTCTGGGCCGACCTCTGCGGCGCGCACCAGGACGGGAAGCCGGAGCTCCCCCTGCTCCTGGGCGCGCTGCTCCTCGCTAGTTGTGGCCCGTGCTCCGTGGCCCGTGCCTCCTCTCCGGGCGTCCACGGGGCTGGGGCCAGCCTGGCTTCGCTGCGGGAGGCCTTGCGGGGGCCGCGTGGAAAGGCTGCTTCAGAACCTGTCCAATATCGAGGCCCCTCCGAACTCCTCCCTCCCCGCTGGCACCACCCCTCGCGTGGCGCCCGAGCTCCTGGCCCAGACCTGCGGCAAGCACGGCAACATGGTGAAGTTCGTGACCGAGTGAGCCAATGCATGGCCCTCGGCCGGCTGCTGGAGGCGTTCCCCGACTTCATCACGACGGACGGCTGCGAGATCCTCTACGCTCGCGTCTACGCGCTCGAGAGGGTGTTCACGGACGTGTCCTTCCGGAACGACTGGAAGCAGCCTCGAGGTGCCGCCGCGAACAGGTGGAAGTCCAAGGTCTGGTGGGACCTGGCCAACGAGCTGGACTGGAAGTTGCTCATAGACGGGGCGCTACCGGGAGCGGATAAGGACCTGACCTCACGGCTGCAGCAGAAGGCGCCCTTCCAGGAGGAGGAGGAGGAGGAGGAGGAGGAGGAGGAGGAGGAGGAGGAGGAGGAGGAGGAGGAGGAGGAGGAGGAGGAGGAGACGACCGTAGAAGGAGGGTCCAAAGGAGGAGGAGGAGGAGGAGGAGGAGGAGGAGGAGGAGGAGGAGGAGGAGGGGGAGGAGGAGGGCTCGATCCCTCCACGACCTCTCTCGGGGCGCTGCGGGGCCTGCCGAGGACGGGGCCCGTCGGCCCCGCGGGGGCGAGCTGCTCCGCTCCAGAAGGCGACGCCTCAGCGGCTACAGTCGGGGCGTTGACCTAAGGAACCCTAAATAAGGAACGAGGCCTCTTTTTTCCATTAGTTAAACTTCGATCTCCCATCGAAAACTTATGGAAAACAGAGGGCAAACTGTGAGACAATTAAGGAACACGGAGCCCCTCCCCAACGGAAAGGGTTCCTTCTTCAGGGCCCCGACTGTATGGGACACGTGGCTCGCATGGCACGAACGCGTGGCGGCGGTCGGGGAGGCCGCGGACGCTGCGCTGTCGCGCGTCTTGGCCGGCCAGGCCTCGGCCTGCAGCGGTGATGGGGCTGTTTGCGCCCAGGGAGGAGGAGGAGGAGGAGGAGGAGGAGGAGGAGGAGGAGGAGGAGGAGGAGGAGGAGGAGGAGGAGAAGGAGGGGGAGGAGGAGGAGGAGGAGGAGGAGGAGGAGGAGGAGGAGGGGAGGAGGAGGAGGAGGAGGAGGAGGAGGAGGAGGAGGAGAGGAGCCAAAAGAGGAAGGCCAGTGCTGCCCAAGGGCGCGATGTGCGGGGTCGGCGTGGACGAGCTCGCGCTGCCGCCCTTGGGCACGGTGGCCGTGGACCGGGTGAGCACCCGCCCCCTCGCTGCCGAGTGCCTGTCCGACGTCCAGGGCAGCATGCTGCGCCGACCGGGCGAGACCATTTGTCATTCAGTCGGGCGTGTCCCCCATACAAGAGGGATTTTGTGCGAAAAATGAGGAATACTCCAAAAATCCCCCCCCAACTGCTAAAAGGTAGTCGAAAAATCGCCCCCATACGATTTTTTTGAATATTTTTGAAAATTCCCCCCGTAGAGGGACAGGCCCGACTGAAATTGATCAGGAGCTGCAGAACCAAGAGGTCTACCGGGACCCCGTGCTGCGCTCGCGCACAGCTCGCCTACGGCTGGCGGGGTGGCCTTGGGACCTGGGGACGACAGGCACGACCGATCGCTGCACGGAGGGTGTCCCGCGCCTTGGCGTCATCCAGGAGCACCTCGCCGACGACAAGGGCCTTACCCTGCCAGCCCGACGCCAAGTCCGTGCCATCTGGGGCGAGAGGCGGGCCAACCTTCGTTAGGGGCGCCCCCCAGCCCAGACGTGCCCGTTGGCAGCCCCGCGGGCTTTACGCACCTCGACCTGTCCAACCTCGGCGAGGGCGACGTGAACCACAGCGGGGTCGGGGACAGCCCAGACATGTTTTCCAGGCTGGAGACGCCCCCCGACTGCTGGCCCTACTTTGTCCTCGACGAGGCCCCGGTGAAGGACTTCAGAGGCTACAGGAGCCAGATGGGGAAGGAGGTGGACTTACCGACGGACATGCCATACCTCGCGTTGAGGGTGCTGGTCATGGACTGGTCCTGGGCCCCTTTCTTGTCGCACTCGTCTCTGCAGGCATGCATGGCGCACGCGCCTGGCGAGGACTCCCTCGGCGCTCGCGCTGTCAGCGGGGCGCCGACGCACGGTCAGCTGGGCCTGCTTGTGAAGTCCAAGGCCCGGACAGCAGAGCGCCACAAGGCCGTCGGAAGGCATCTCGAAAGAGCTCTGGAAGCTGCTGGAAGGAGCTTCCGAAGGAGCTTCTGGGCATACGCAGTGGGAACCACCTAAAAAATGCCCGCCGCGACGCGCTGCAAGTTCAGGCGAGGCGCGCCGAAGTGTTCTCACTGAAGCCAAAACGAGCTTCGGGGCCACCCTGCGGTACGCCAGGAGGCTCCCGAAACGATCAACTGGGCCTACACGATAGCGGCATCGTGGCGACCTCTGCCTGGGCTCGTGGGCCGTCTCCGAGGTCGGTGGGCCGCCTCGCCGACGGTGCCAGGGCGGAGCTGGCGACAGTGGGCCTTCCCGTGCACAGGAGGCGCAGGGCGAGGGTCTCGCACTCTTAGTAGGGGCCTCGCATATGGGGTCGGAAGATCGCGCCGCATCGCCGATGCATCGGCGATGCATCGCCGACGTCGACGCGAAACAAACCGGGCGGCACATCGAGCCGCGTGGGCGATACATCGGCGATGCGGCGCGATCCTGCAACCCCCTCTACTCCGGCCCCATCTAGGAGGCCCAGACTTGGGGGGCCAGCATCGCTGGTCGACCCTACCACGTCGCGTCCGACGCCCGCCGCACGTGCCGACTGGCCAACTTTTTCCCAACCCTCCTTGGTTGGGTATTCGTTTTGAATAGAGCACTGCGGTCTCCAATTCTCCTTCTCCTCCTCCTCCCGCCTCCCGTCTCCCGCTTCCGTCTTGTCTCCTCTTGCCTTGCGCGAACCTGGCCATCCCTGGGGGGCTGCGATCTTCGACACCGTCGCCACTTTCGAGGGCTGCTGGTGGGTCCTGCGGAGGGAAGCACCGCGGGGATCTGAGCGGGACCTCGCCGTCCCTGGGGGGCTGCGATCTGCGACACTGTCGCCACTCCGTTTTGCTGTAGTGGTGGATGATCGTAACTCCAGGCGCATCCCTTCCTTGCTGGGCCGCCTCCTGGTTCGGTCGTCATGCTGTTACTTGGACCACTGGCGTTCAAGACGCGTCAAGACCCTGGCTCACGTCGCCACGTATGTTGAGCGACGTGCGAACTCATCGTAACAAATGACTCACTCGACCCACCCGTGAATCACATCTCAATGATGCTGCTTCGCCAAGCAAAGATGCGGAAACTGGGGTGAGAGTGGTTGAGTCACTGCAGCTCGAGCTTTCACTTGTTGCCCTGGCCACCCGCCTGCCCCCCGAGGCGTCGCGACGATGATCGTTCTCCAAACTCAATAGATTGCGTCTCGGGGCGATGGGGCGAAGGTCGGCCGTGTCAGATCGTGCAGGTGATCCCCTCGTCAAGCCTGCTGCCGTTCTTCGCGAGGGGGCTGGTTGTGATACCACGCTGCCCCACGTCAAGCTCGCTGCTGTTATTCGCAAAGGGGGTGATTGTAACACCATTTTGCCTGCTCATCTCTCGTGTCCGCTCAACTTCCCTCGCTGAATGTTCGTTACTTTGGTGTGCTCTCGCGGCATGTGGGGGTGAGAATGATTGAGTCTCTGCATCTCGAATTTTTGCATGCTGCGCCGGGGCTTCAATTCTCATCTCTCGGCTTATCGGCAAGTATGCTTGACTTGGCCAATCGGGGCCCTCTTCGATCTTGTGGTTGGAAATGCTTCGTTCTTTCCATCGCAGTTTCGCGGCGTTGCTGCACGCCCCAACTGTATTGCACTTATCAGCTTTGCTGGCCACCCGCCTGTCCCCGGAGGCGTCGCGATAACAAAAGGAAGAGGAGGGTGCTTAGGACGAGGAGGAGCACGAGAAGTCTGGTGATGAGGAGGGCGAGGAGTGAGGAACGTGTGGGTGGGATATGAGGCGCAGGTGGAGGATTGAGAGTATGGGGTCGTAGTGAGGACGAGGAGGGAGGAACGAATGAGCGATGGTGGTTGCGAGTGAGGAGGATGAGTATGGGGAGAAGTGGGAGAAGGATCAGCAGCACCACCATCGGCAGCACCATCAAGTTCATAATCAGGGGCAGGAGCATGGCCTAGAGTAATCCCACCAGCCCTGCAGGGCGTAGCTGGTTTCGGGCGTTTCCTCTTCCAACACCCCTTCTTCCCCATCGGGGAGGGGTTGTTCATTATTCCTTATTAACAAACACCTCCCTCCCCCAGGCGACAGGCAACCAACGAGGATCCATGCCCCCCCCACCACCCCTGTAAAGACACAATGTGAAGTGCACTATGGGGCAAGCTCTTGGGTCATGCTCAGGGAGGCCGCGAGCACTTTGTATTGTTTTGTTGTAAGGGGCGGCGGGCGGTGGGTGGGGGGCGCATATTGCCTTCTGCGCGCAATGCCACCGTCCCTGCCAACAAGCTTTTCAACGTGCACGCCGCTGCAAAATCTGGATCATGCGTGGGCACCCCAAGATCACTTTGCACTGGTTTTGGGCAAAAGCGGCGGGGGTGCTGACACACTGCCTGCTGTGTGCAAACCCGCCAGACACTATGATGGCCACCCTACCGCGATTGCGCACTGGTTTTCGAAAATAATAGTGTGGGCCGGCATGTTTACATATGTTTACCGTCACGTGCGCGGTCACACCTGGCACACTCTGCGCGTGCCCCGAACGTGACACTCCTGGCGCGGCTGGAGCATGCGGCACACATGGGCACCAGGCGTGCCTGGCACGCTTGGGCCCCAGGGGTGCCTGACGCACCTGGCGCGCGTGGCGCGCCTGGCACGCGCGGCGCACCTCGCCCCTGAGTCGCGCACATGGGGTCTGTTTTGGTTTCCAGTAGCTGTCCATCCACATACGACCGCTGACCATGCTGCGGCTCGGGTGCTACTAATTGGCTGGGAGGGCGGGTGGGAAGGAGCGAGTCGGCTAACGGACGGGGAGGGTGTCTGGACCCCTCCCCGTCCCCCTCCCCTAGACCTGGCCACGGGGTGGCCGCGGGTCGTTGAAGCGTCCAAGGTGGCTCCAAGAGGGGTTAGGGAGCGCAAGATGGTTTCCAAGGTGGCCCAAGACAGCGCAAGATCGCTCACGATGACCTCCAACCTGCTCCAAGGGGCCCCACGCGCGCCCCACCAAGTGGCCACGGAACACCCCTAGGAGAGCCGCCAGGGGGCCCAGATCCTTGACACACCTCAGCGACATCAAGACCTTTCGCTGTCTCGTCCTTTCGCCTCTGATGGCCCTCCTAGGCCTGAAGCTGGCTCCAAGAAGGCCCAAGAGAGCTCCAAGAGGAGCCCAACAGTGTCCCAATACGGTTCCAAGAGCGCCCAAGAGCGCTCCAAGAGCGTTCCAAGAGGGGTCTAAGGGGCCAGCTTAGGAGCTGCAGAGGGGGGGCCTAATTAGGGACCCCCTTCTTTGATCGAGCTCCTTTAAGATGGCCTCAAGGTGGCCCCCAAAGCTCACAAGAGTGCTCCAAGAGGGCCCCAAGAGGCGCCCAGGAGGTCCCAAGAGGCCTCCATGAGGTTCCCCCAAGAGGCCCCCAAGAGACCCTCAAGAAGCCCCAAGAAGCTCCCAAGAGACACCCAAGACGTTCCGAGAGTTTCCCGGGACAGCCAAAATGCCCCCACGACGCTGCCAGAGAGCTCCAATAATCTCCCAAGGAAGATCCGAAGAGACTCCGAGAGGCATCCAAGACGCCTCTTGCTTTTTTGCTCGCCCTCCTCCTCTTCCTCCTCCTCCTCTTCCTCATCCGCCTGTTTGTCCTCCTCGTTCCTCCCTTCTCCCCCTCCCCCTCCCCCTCCCCCTCCTCCGATTCCTCCTCCATCCTCCCCCTCTTAGGGCATGACGGTTTCCCACGCCCTTTATTCCACCGCATGCTCCTCCACATCCCTGATCAGGGCAACTCGCCTGAGCATCGTTTCTGGATGGGCTGGTGGGGCTACGCGAAAAATCTGGAATTTAGCCTAACTGTCTTCCAATCTGTTCACTGTATCGGAGGCTGCCACAGTCCATCCGTACAAGCGACTGTCTCTCTGACGATGTTTGTTTGAGCACTGAGGCAGGCTTTGATTGGCGTTGACCTCCTCTCTCCTCTTGCGTGAACGATACTCGGCGGATGAGGAAGAATGGAGGGGAAATGAGGGTGGCGAAGAGAGCAGAACATGAGGGATACTAAATGCATGTGTACAGGAGACGGAGAAGCAGGAAGGCGAAGGCGGGGGGGCTGGTCTGCGCTGCCTCCATGGGATCGGCGGACTGCCAGAACAGCTCGAAACTGTTGCCTTGTGCTGCCGACCAATCCCTGGGAGCAGCAATCATTGTGGAAGAGGGGTGCTAGAGGAAAAGACGAGGTGAAAAGGAACATGAGGAGAAGGACGAAACGGGTGGACGAGGAGAAGGACGAAGGCAACAATGCATATATATATATACATATATATATACATATATATATATATATATGCATGTGTGTGTATGTGTATATACAAATCTGTGCCAGCGTGGGCCAAGAACTATCTGCTATTCAACTCTGTGTGTGCTAGCTATAGTTTACAATCCGCGTGATGCAGCCCGTGTGGTGCGAGCTGCGGGGCGCAAAGTCTGTGGTGCAAGCCGCGTGGCCCGTGCGAGCCAAACTGCGCAAAATGTTAGGAGGCAACTATTGGGAGGTTTCGTCGGAAAAAGTAAGGAGGATTGAGCCCCATCTGGGGGGGGGCTGATACGCCGGAGTGGGCCTCGGATTAAGCGGGATTTAGCGGGCTTAAGCGGGATTAAATGGGATTAAGCCGGATCAAGCGGGATCAAGCCGGATGAAGCCAGATGAAGCCGAACTTCGGACCAGGGCAGAATCATAACTTGACCTCCCAGGAGCTGCACCCGAACAATATGTGTGGTGCAACAGGCGTGCCACGAACAAGGCGATGCAGGCCCCGCGGCCGGGGCCATCGAACCGCCGATCAGCGCAAGAGGCGCCCACGGGCGACACGGCCGCGAGGCGCCCACGAGGCGCCCGCGGGCGGCGACGCGGGGCGACAGCCCGGCACTCCCACTCGGCGCACGGGGCACCCACGGGACACCCACGGGGGCGCCCGAAGGGCGCAGGCTGGGAACGCTGAGCCTCCGCGCGGGACGCCCGCAAGGCTCCCACGAGCGGCGGCGGAGCGAACGGCCGTATTTTCCAGCCGAGTGCTTCAAAAACCCGAGGCCAGAACCCCCAAGAGCAGGCAGTGTTCGAGCAACCGGCAGAGAGAAGCAGGGAAAAAAAGAGAGAGAGAGAGGGGGGAGAAGAACGGAGAAAGAGAGAGAGAGAGGGAGATAGGGATATAGAGGCAACGAGAATCTGGTAGAGCTGAGGCAGGCGTAACAAGCCAGAGCACGGAAAAACAGCGCCGATGATGATGACGGTGATGATGACGATAATCAGGATGATGATGACGATGATGCTGATGATGATGTGGAGGAGAAGGAGGAAGCCTCGTGGCTCTGGGAGCCCGTCCAAGTGCTAACTGGGGAGATGACGCTGGGGCGCGGCCGCGGAGCTTGGTGAAACGCATCCGAAGAGAGGAAAGGGCGAGCTGCGTGTGGGCAGACCCTAAACCTATGCGATATGCGGACCAGTCGCTTACTCCACCACGACCCCTAATGTACAGGGATGATGATGGCGATGGCGATGGCAATGGCAATTATGATGGTGATGCCGATGATGGTGATGATGATGCTGATGATGACGATGATGAAACTGGCGGTGATGCTGATGATGCTGATGATGATATTGGTGATGCTGATGGTGATGATGATGACCATGCTGCTGATGATGGTGGTGATGATGATAATGGTGGCGATGCTGATGCTGCTGACGATGACGATGGCGGAAAGGATCGTAAATGTGATGATGGTGGGATAATGATGATGGTTATGATGATGGTGATGCTCCACAAGTCGAAAACAAGCTGGTAAGCTTAGGTATACAGTCCGCCTTAGGCGCTTCCATATCCCAGGCTTAGGCTCATAGCGCATGAGCAAGAGAGCGAGACGAAGCATGGGATCTGGAGTATAGAGTAGGATGGGCATCGTCAATGGAAAGGATGTTTTCCGATCTCAGATGCAAGTAGTGCGCCTCAGTGAGGCACAGTCACATATCAGGCCGGGCCCGGCTTGAGCCAGGCACGGCAGCGGTACATGCTCGATTTATACCTCGCCTTTAACCTTCTCCGTTTAAAGTCGGAGGGGGAGGAGACGAGCAGGTACCGCACTTCTATTATGCGGAAAAACAGTGCTAAGCAGCAGCGGCTGCCTACAAGGAAAGGGCGCGCGAGTAGCCTCGCTACCGGCGAGTTTCCTCGCTGCTAAAGCGCACCTGCCCGCGGGTTTCCCCGCTGGCTCGGGAGGCAGGGCCGTCCTGAGACGACCTGCCCGCCCTATACGGCGTATGTTTCTTCAGCTCGTGCTTGAAGGATTGCTGGCCGGCCATTACTTGTAGGAGCAACGCGCGGTCAATGCTACCTTTGGTATGACCATCGGCAGTCATATCCCGCGTGTCACACCATTGGACGCTTTCCACGATTCCACGTTCCATCATCTGGCGAATCCAGCTGATGTGCCCAAGCAGAGTACACTCTGTGGGCTTCTTCAGATCCTTGCTAGACAAAGATTTGAAGACAGACTCGGCATCAATAGTCAGAGTGACTTTGATACATAGACCACCCATTTCCAATATGTTCTTCAACTGTGTGGGGGTCAATGGTCCCGAGTGTAGCTCGTGGAGCGTTACAATGGTCGGGTAGCAGTCTTCCAAGTTGTGGGCTGCTGCCAGTGTTTCCGCAGAGTAGCTCGAACGCACCTGCAGTCGATGAGACTTGCAGTATGCGTCCACCAGGTGCACGACGGGTTTCCCCGCTTGCGTGTGGCCACGCCTCAGCAGGTTAGCCCCGCGGATACCATAGCCTTTGACTTCGTCGTCTTCATCTCCGTTGAGACGACGATAGCCAGAATCGCTATGCAGGTCGACTTCTCCTGTTGGAGTCATAGCATGATACACGATCTTCTTCGGGCCTGCCTGCAATTTTCTGGTAACCGCGTTTAGTCGTCGTACCTGGATGTTTGTCGGTTCTTGGATACGTTGTAGTGAGACAACATAGACCATTAGCCATACCTGCGTGATCAACGCATAGGCTAGAGCGCCACGAAGACTGACGAACATATCAGAAATTGTCTTCGTCGCCTTGCTTTCAGGATCAGCTCCTGTGAGTTCTGGATGTGTGATAGGACGAAGCTGTTTGATGTATTCGTCCTGGTCGAGAGTGACGCTCCCATCATCGGTCTTGTTGTACCGGACAGCACAGTTCGTGTATGTGTGCTTGTTCAGTTTGCACTTCCCAAACGTATCTTCAACACACTTGACATACTTGTCGATAGCCTCTTCCTTCCCAGTCATATTGATGTCATCAACGTGCTTGGCTGTCAAGAGGTTTGGGCTCATCTCGAATTCTTCGTCGTATGAAGTAGGCTGTAGCCCAAAGCTCCTAGTGATGGACCTGAGCTTCAGCGAGAATGCCCTGGGAGCATCCTTCGTGCCTGTCCCCGGTTTCAGACACCGGAGACAATGCTTTGATTCGTCATATGACTCAAAGCCTGGCAGTGTGCGAAGGACAGCTGCAGATCCAGGTGGTAGTGTGAAACACACCACACGTTCTTTCTCGCCCGTTGCCGCGGCGAGCTCGCCATAGGTCAGTCCCTTCAAGAAAGCCATGTTGATGTCCAGGGAAGCGATGATCCAAGCTTTGTTGCATGCAGCAGAACTTGCGAGCAGTCTCTGGCTTGACCTCCTTGCCGTGCCAGAGAAGGTTTCGACATCAAAGGCTTCGAGGTCCATGAAGCCACGGAGTACCAAGCGTAACCGGATCGTCCTTTCCATTTCGCCCTTTTCGTTCTTGACAAACTTCCATTTGTATACGTAGCGTGACGTCATGATGTTAGACGCCTTGCTTAAGTCAGTCATCTGGAAGCATTTGTTGTCAAGCCAAGTCTTCAGCTCTGTGTAGAGGGCTTTGGAAACTTTGACCGGATTTGCTTGGATGTCGGCCTTCGTGAGTAGATCGTCTTCCTTGACGACCACGGCACGTTTGGAGGCAGCGCTAACGTATACTCGCATAGTTGTGACGCTGCTGTCATCCAACAGTCGGTGTTGCTGCTCGGACAGGACGACTTTGGACATGTCTGCAGTGAAGCAGAGCTCGATATACTTCCCGTGCTCATCGGAGTCCAGATCATATTTGCTATCCGGTTCCGTGGAGCATAAAGGAACGTAGTAAGAAGTGTCCATGTCGTATCCTGGCGGGTGACCCCGCTCCGGCAAGTGGCCTTGCACATCTTCACAGGTCGTAGAGACTAATACACACTGTGTGTCTGTCATGTATGTAGGAACTGTATGCATGACTTCCTCTGTGTCAGCTTCAAGGAGTGTTCTGTCATCCATCAGTTCAGCATACCACGACTTCAAGACAAAAGCATCCAGATCTTCTTCTGTCTCCTCTATGATGGTCGGGAGCCGACCATCGTTGTCCGTAGGAGGCTCCTCAGGAGCAGCTGCTGGAGGTGATTCGCTTGGTGGTGGACCATCAGCGAGTTCCTCAAACTTAGTGAGATCTTGGTCAAACCCAGCAGACGGCTTCCTGGATTTAAGACACTGGATGATGCGTGAGTGTGTGGATCCTGTGATGTCATAGATGTTCAAGGCAGTGCCATCAGCTTCATAGTAATGAAACCCAGGGGTCACATCGTTATCATAGTGCACTAGTGTACAGCTGTCTGCATAGGGTGCGGCAGGCAGCTTCGTCAGGCTCTTGGCGAGTCGTACAGCAACAACGTTTTCAATACGAAAGTAGTTGCGTATGAGGTACTGAAGAGCCAAGTGCACCTTAGGTGAAAGTCGGCTCGCAGCAGTCATCTGCAGCCGACCCTGTTTCGTTGGTAGATATCCGAAAGTCATGGCGGGTTTCCCCGCTGGCAGACCGGCAATAAAGGCCAATACTGTTCGAAGGGCCGTATTGTCCGATCCTATCTCGCGGACCATAAGTGCTTCGATGTACAGTGTGTGTCGTGTGTCAGGATACTGTACTCGTACTTCGCGATTGCCGACCTTCACGATGACCTGGCCTCGGTCAGGTTCGTTGCGGATGACCGGGTATGGACCACTCCATCCACCCCAGTCGTCTTTCGTGGTGGTCGGGCGATGATAGTCCACGAGATCTCCCTCTTTATAGTGAAATTCACCCGTAGCAGTAGTCTTTGTACGGAGAGCCCTGT